CAATGAAATAACACAATATTACAATGGAAAATTGATTAAAGAGAAGATTACATGCAAGGCTGGCTTTCCTCCTTTTATATTATTAGGACTCCTTTACTTACTTTTGTGATCACTTGATCTCTTTCTCCACTCATTTGTCTATGAGCTAAGTAAAATTAACATCGTAAGTGTAGGAAGCTACTCCATCTCCAACAACGATTGAATGCTGACCGGCCGGCAACACAGTGTGTGCTTGGTAATCCACGATGCTCAAAGCCTTGCACGCATTAAACTGAAACGGTACTGTTACTGTCTGTCCTGCACGAATACCGACTCTCCTAAAACCAATCACTTGTTTGATGGGTGCTCCAAGAATCCCTTCAGGTGCTTTGGAGTAAACAATCACTGCTTGGTCACCGTCTCTTGTTCCTGTATTCGTGATTTGAATTTGTGTGTTAATGGTGTAGTGAGTGTCACATGCAAGACCATCTTCGATCTTGACAGACGGGCATGTAGGCTTTTGGGTACCTGGTTTGTAGTCGATGTCATGGCAGTGTTGGAATCTTGTGAGTTTTACATCGAGTGTACTGGGATTAGGAGATTGAATTTTGTAGGTGAATTGACTATAACTAAGGCCATAGCCGAAGGGATACACTGTAGTTCCATTGTAAAATTTATAAGTTCTACCAGGATAACCTAAATTGTCTAGTGGTCTCAACTGCATAGATGTCATTGGTAGCTTCTCGACGTAGCTGCCTTCGTACCAAGTGATTGGCAATCTTCCTCCTGATAATTAGTAATTCTATAACCAATTAGTACCCTTTATGTTTATGAAGTAAGGAATGTAATAACAATTTACCTAAGCAGTGAGTGGTAGATAGAAAAATAATTTGTTACCTACCAGGATTATAAGTCCCAAAGACGACATCAGCAATCGCACGGCCACCTTCTTGTCCTGGGTATCCAGCCCATAAAATAGCTTTGATTTTGGGATTGTTCTTTGCAAAAGTGATATCTATTCCACCGGCTGACATGATGATAAGAACAACTGGGCCTTTAGCAGCATCTGCAACTTGATTAATGAGTTGAGTTTGGAAACCTGGTAAGAAGAGATGTAGCCTATCCAAGCTTTCAGCTTCAACCTTGAGACTTAATCCCACCATGATCACAGTAGCATCAGCAGTCTTTGCAGCATCAACTGCAGCACCTATAAGTTTATCGTTATTGCAAAGTACATCTTCACATCCTTGTTGGGTCTGGACATTTGTATACGTAGAGAAGCCATCGGTTGGAGTAATATATCGACATGGAGTACCTACCAATATTCATGATTTTTCCCGTGAGTTTATGCAATAATATGTACGTAAAATATCGTGAAATACAATTTATATTTATGGGTTGATAAATATATATATATATATACCTGCATAGTTTCCAATCATGATATCGGTAACACTAGCATGGGGGCCGACTACGGCTAAGTTCTTGATTGTATTGCGATCGAAAGGTAAGGTTCCATTATCATTCTTCAAAAGAACAATTCCCTGTCTAGCTGCTTCAACGGCTAAATCAATGTTTCGAGAAGAGCAAATGTCCTTCTTGCCAAGATTCTTGAATTCAGGACTTCCATCAAAATACCCAAGTCGCATCATCAACATGTAAAGATTTCTTAGTGCTTTGTCTACATCTTCTACACTCACTTTTCCTTGTCTAATCGAACTCATTGTAAACTTTGGGTAGTAGTTACCGCAGTCCAAATCCAACCCTATATTAGTAACTCAATCAAAAGTTTGTCTCCCATGCAACCAGAAAAATACAAGACCAGTTTCTTAAAAGTTAAAGCGATAACTTGCCTGCTTTTAGGGTTTGTGCAACAGCATCCTCATTTGTGTCATTGATAAATTGGTGGTTGTCTACCATTACTTCAATGGAGTCACAATCCGATACCAAGTATCTGGTAGTTCATATATATATATATGTATATATGTTTATATGTGTGTCAGTAATGAAAGAAAATGAATAATAATATTATAAGATGCTCTTATAACGTATATGGGATTATTTAACACATATATATATATATAGAGAGAGGGGTAAATAGTGAAGTACCCGCGAAGACCCCAATCTCCTCTGACAGTTTGGTTCAAGAGTTTTGGATCGGCGCATGTGGGTATGCCGTTGACACGATTGTAGGAACACATAATGCTACTGACATCGCCTTCTTTAACACACATTTCAAAAGGCTTAAGAAAAGTCTCCACCATATCTTGCTCGGTCACCCTGGCATCGAAATGAAGGCGATCAACTCCTTTCCAGTTGTCTACATCGTAGGCAGCGTAATGCTTGCAACATGCAGAAACCTTGAGTGGTCTTGCATTCAAGTCAGGTATGTGTTCGGTTCCCCTAACATCCTGTAAACCTCTAACAAAGTTTGCTGCATATCGGCCCACCACGAAAGGATCTTCCCCAGGTGTCTCTTGAGTTCTTCCCCATCTTGGATCTCGAACTACGTTGATCACCGGACTCCAAAATGTTAACCCAGCTCGACCTAGGTTGTACATTGCTCTTGCTTCATTTGAAACAACCTGTCCACACATTGACGCACATCTTTCAATCACAATGCAATATAAATACCTTCAAACAAGTACATACACAGAAAACACATATCAACTCGAACCCGTAATCTCTTGGAAAGAGATGTACCAATCATTTAATTAATGGTGGTTAGTTCTCTACTTAAATAATTATATATATTATGTTGGTAATTTTAATTTTCTTATGTGTTAAATTTGAACTTAGAATCATTTAGTCTGGGAAAAAATTATTCAAATGGTATATGAACTATTAGAGATTTTTGTAATACGTGAATGTGAAATTATATTTCTTTAATATTAGTACCTGGCCGATTCTTTTCCATAGGTCTTCATTAAAAGAAGCAGTCGAAAGGATAACAGTAGGAAAGCTTGTTGCACCGGGAACCACTGTGTCGAAACGGGAGCCACCTCCGACGGATGAGACACCATGCAATGCCTCATTCCACCACTCGTACTTTGGCAATCCTAACCTTGGCACCCCGGGGGACGTACTCCCAAGTAGCAATACCTTCTCTTCCACTGATAATTGATCTACCAAATCCTCTACCCTCACACTATAGGGGAGAGACTTGTCACAGAAACCAAGGGTGGAAACATCTAACTTTACAGCACTCAAATGTGCTGGATCACACACATAAGTAAAAGGAGGCTGCTCAGGCGCAGTAGCACTGGCTTCATTTGACATTATAAAATCTTCTGCAACAATACATGTTAAGCAAATTACAGTATAACCCAGAGAAGCATACACCATAAACTCAATAATTTTTCCCATTCTGGCTTTCTTTAACAGAAACTTGATTCGTTTAATCCAGTTTAGTTTCTTCTTTTATAATGGATAAATTTACTATTTTTATGTTCTATCTATAAATGACCATCTTTCTTTTTTTTTTCCATATCCTATGCTAAGTCAAAAGCAATCTGCCATTTTAAACCAAACACTTGTAATTTTTTGCGACTTTTTTTTTGAAGACCAGAATAATTGAAGCAAAACTTAATTGAATAACATTTGAATTTTAATTATAATCAAAACAATGAACTTACTGCTTCTATTTATGGTTTTTCAGACTGATATAATTACGTGGGTTGATTAAGAATACAATCAGAGATAAATCTATAAAAAAAATTTAAACCATTAGATATTGGACAATGTAAACAAATGCCTCTTCTCTGAGCAGGAGATGTGGTGGTTAACATTTTGTGAGTGTTAAGAAGATATGGTTAATATATCAGAAGCCTGTATATATAGATTCCTTGGGCATGCCCCTGTGATATTATCATATGGTAAGTTTTGGTAAGGTGGCATGTGGAGGGGCAGAGCTTTCGAACTTGATTAATCCGATTCGTCCAAATTTGATCTATTATAATTATGTTCGAATTAATAAATATGATTAGTACATAATTAATATAATAAAATAGTTTAGTCGGACAAACTTTCGAAAGCGTAGTATTTTATTAGTGATCTTTTCGAAACCTTGGCAAAGTGTAAGAACTATGAAGTTCAGTAAGGCATAACTTATGGTCATAGGTAAAAGTATTTGAGACAGTAGCTGCTCATGTTTCAACACCACTAATGGATAGTGTATTGAGAATGACTCGATGATGGGGATTGCCTGGGTTATTAGAGAGTAGGTGCATTGGAAGTGGAACCATGTGGCTAATTCAATAGATAATAGGTTAGAGAAAATAAACTCACCAGTCAAACAAAATTGAAAGTTAGAAAAACTATCTCCATCACTTTCAAGTATAGAAATAGTGATAGATTTATGTATCTAGCATTATTATAAACCAATATTTTTTAGCATATCTTGCTTGTCTCTTTAGATATTGGAATATAAAGTTCTGCATGATCATATATATTTACAGAAACCACACTAGAAAAGAATGTCATGGACTCTCATTTATAAGATACAAACCATACATCTACCCTGTATATACATATGTGTATATATCTATTTTTTGAAGTTAAAGAGATCTTAAACAACATTTGATAATGTAAATCAGTCATTTCCCAGTAACAACAAACTGGGTTTTCAGCTCACTATTAAAGAACTAATCTCAGACTGAATAAAAACACAAAATGCAACCAAGAGAAAAGTAGTCTACAGATATATGTGATCATTGGTCAATAACAGCTCTGAAGTAATCTATAGTTATAAAATATCATCTGAACAGCTTCATATAACTAGAGAATTTAGTAAGGAAAGAAGAAGAAAACCAGAACCCATTTAGCTTTTTCTTTTTTTCTATTTACACGTTCTAAGGTCAAAAACACGGCCATTCATGGCAAAACCTCACGGCTTTAATCTGCCTGTCTTTGTCAAGAATGTGGTAAGACATCAGCTTTCCTTCCAAAGTCTTCTCAGCTCTTTTTAAACACCTCCACTTGGTTTTCAAGTATTTGGCAGGTTATGAAGCTAGATAGGACTCCCTCTGGACACCTGCTTTATTATAACCTTTGGTCAATGGCATTTTCCTTTTTTCTCCTACAAAATCTACTCCATGCTTAATCCCTTAACAGACGAGTGAGAAAGCTGTAAACAACGAATTTCATCCATATTCTAATTCTATAGAATAGAATGAGAATACAAACACAAATACAATAGAAATTTTAATGATACAGAGACGATAGAAATTCTAACTCCAAGTCAATTCCATAACCAATTCAAATTAGTTTGTTTATGTGATTTAATTATAAAATGAATGCAAAAATTATGATTAACCGCTAATATCAAATAATTAAAATCTATAAATTGAATGAAAATAGGATAAGTTTTGAACCAAAAGTAATGTAACAGTTACTGAATTACTCACACCTAGGATGATGATAAGGAAGCTCTAGTCTAAAGCAACAAAAACTATCCTCTCGAACTTTTGCCCATTTGAACATAATGATTTCAAATGGATCCTTAGAGATGATATAATAGATAAAATAGATCTTATAACATACGGGAATCTCCAATCATATATTCAGAAAATAAATACAAAATACAACAAGATCTCTCCTCCCCCACCATTTTCCTTTTCAATAAGGGCTTCTTTAGTTAACTTCATATGTAATTCCAGTCGATTCTAATATAATTATTAGGATGTTTTTATGTGCAAATTGAATAACAATTTTCATACTTGAATCAATCTGCTCCTATTTTGAATTTGTTGGAGATGAAATTATAATTCCTACCAAAAGAAATAAAAATTAAAAATTATATTCGAGGAATTGATAGTAAAGGAATAGATGTATATACACGAAGACATGTTATAATCCAACTCCGCAATCAAGGATATTAACTAATTAAAAAGAAAGGGATAAGAAATTAATGGTATTAGGAATTGAAAAAAACGGACTATAAGTGCAAAGGCTTACAAGATTACTTCGGGAGCTTAAAACATTCAAGTAGCTAAAATATTTTTTAAAGAAAATATAGACATGAAAAAACCTAAATGTGATTTGAAAGATAAAAAAGAACACAAACCTGATTTTGTGAGCTGGTAGCTGTAGTCCAGAGCCGAGGACGATGTACCACTGCTGAATTATCACTGACGAAAGTTATCGTTCTTGATTCTTCTTGTGTGTTAGCTAATACTAAGGGTGGCAATTCTCTCATGATCCATAATACAAATGCTGAGGGTAGTGAAGAACCTAGAAAAACATTTTGGGAACTTATATAATCAAAATAAAGTAGTTAAAACCCAAACTATTTCTATGATAAAAAAACTAGGAAAAAGAAGGAATTGTCACAGCTGTTATTGGACAACTGTCATGATTTATCCCAATTAATTTCGACAAATATAACCCAAATCTTTTAAGGAAGTAATAAAGTACACAAAAAATTTAATTCCTCATAACTTCTCCAAAGAGATTAGACTCATGGTTCCATGACCATCTAGTAAGGCTACAACATTAGCAAAATTTGTGTATTGATTTTTAGGCTATGTTGGAAACAGATCACAAATTCCAATTCCACATGAAATTTCATATTAAATCAATTTTGCATAATCAAACCACAATTCGCACCCGCTCTTAATTGAATTAAGGCAGGATTTTAAATAAACTCAACATTACTTCTGGATTTTTTCCGAACATAACCCTAAAAGTCCAAAAAAAAAAAAACTCTTCGTATCCAGATAAGGCATATCATGAACTCTATCACAGTTTATTGTTGCAGACAACTGAAAATTGAAAAGTAAAGTTGTATCAATACCTATAAAATAGTATAAAATCAGTAAAAGAGACGTATAAAGACCATTGCTTTTCAGTTGATTCCAGTGATAAAGCACCTACAATTGCAAAAATAACATGAAAGTTGGAAAAAATAAAAATGATTAAGGATACAACAGTAAACAAACCACAGATGAAAAGTATAAAACAGAAAAAAAAAATGGCCAACAAATACATACAGAAATATCAGTTAGGAGGTCTATTAAAGCACTAGAAGTGAAGCACACAACACAGACTACAGCCAAGCCTGCAACCTGGACACAACATAAGTCAGAAAATTATGATAATGTGATTATAAACAATGCAAATGATGATAATATCAATATGAAAAGAACAACCACCTAATGCATGAATACATAGAGAAAGATGTCCCGGATGTAACAGGTTTGTAGAGATGTTCTAAACAACATTAGTACCATTAACCAAGGAGGAGCAATGTAATAAAGGATATAGCAAAAATAACCTTCCAAGTCTCTGAGGAAGCTCTGTCGGATCTAACTTTCTTCATTTTTCGGCATAACATATATCCTGTATATTAAGTGCCAAGTGACAGTCAAGCCCATAGCAAAACATCTTAATGTGGAAAAGAGTAAACCGGAGAAAAATAAACCTGTCAACAAAATGAAACAATTTAACTATGTATGTTCATGTGATTTCATTAAAAATTTCATATTTTCTAAAATTGTTCCATGCATACGATATTGGAAAGTCGAGCAGCATAGAGAAGCATACATAAACAACTACTATCTTGTTTCAAAATTTATTGAATACTTAAACAGCTTCCAAACAACTCTAGTTTGAAACTTCTAATGGCTGGAGAAACCCCATAGGTGGCACCTCACCTATTTACTTGTGACTTCTACTAAGTGGTTGCTCAGCATGATGCATCAATATAATAAATGGGGGAAGATATAATCCTTATAACAAGGAAGCAGTTAAGTGTATCAATTCTATACTCTGCTCTGCCTCTTATTAGTTCCGCTTGCTGATGCTTTTAACAGGCTACAAGAATGGGGTCGGTTCTGAGTTTTATAAACTGACTAAATGCACACTTTGAGTTTAAGGATCCCATACCATCAAGTGCTTAGAGTGGAGAACGCTTTGGGATTTCTCCATTAACCTTTTGGGCATCAAGTGGCTGACACATGGGTTCATTCATGATGAGCTGCTAGCTTACGATTGGTATTCCTCATGCCATTTTCTAGACCACTGGAGATAATGATTAGTGGGGCATTATATTTAATTTTTCTAATCCAGAGACCAAAGGTTATGTTTTGTTTCCTTTGTTTTAACTGTCATACTTTTCTTCATGGGAAGATTTAAAGGAGGCCATGTATATTCTATCTCCACTGCAATTCCTATTTTTGCGAGTGGCATTGCCAATTAGAATTGGATTATTAAGAGTGTGATTCCTAAGAATAGATAACTGTGTTAGAGATGAAAAACAAATGAAAAATTTTCCATCCAAGAGAGAAAGACTCTAACAGCCTCTCACTCATCTGATCCCCTGCTGCAGCCAGCCTAGTTCTTGGTAGCAGTTATGCTGCCAGCAACAACAAAAAAAAACTCCCAGTTATTGAATGGAAATCGTCCGACATCCTGCTTGAGGATAAATTGGGTATCCTTGGCATCACAGAAAATGGTTTTGAAGATTTCACAGCCTTTTTCTTTTAACCTAGAAATACATTGGTTCTTCAGGGAATTTTGTGAACTTCTGAAGTCAAAGACAAAAGACAGAAGATCGACTCCTGACCTTGTCTCTGGGTAGGAATGATAGAGGAAGATTCTTGCAGCTCTGGGAACAGAAAAGAATTGTAGAAGAATAATGATATCCCTTAAGGGCAAAGGTGCAGATTGGTGGTGGAGAAAATTCTCGGCCGTGTACACAACATGCAGCCTTATCATGGAGTAAGGGGGAAAGAGGTTCTGGGAGAATCGATTTTGTCCGGTCATGAAATTAATAAATCAATGTGGGCTGTGAATGATGTTAGGTTGTTTGATCTTCCATGCAAAAAGGGGTGGCTGGTGGCATCTTGATCATGTTGAAAGACAGCAGGCTCTAATTTGTGAAGGACATTAAAGGCAAAGTGTTAGTCTCCTAAGAATTCCTTAGTAAGGTCACAAAGTTTTGATGGCTTTTCTCTGGCATATACGGTAAAAGTGAAGAGCAGAACTGTAGTTTATTGTGATGGCCAATCAGTTCGGCATATCTTCATCCCTTATTCCTCTACCTTTTGGGTCACTTAGGAATAGAGGAACAATAGAACCTTCGAGAGTATCACATTCTCATTTGCCTTCATTCAAGAGGATCGGCTTAAGGCCCATGTAATTTTGTCTAAAGGCCATCCCCTTCTAGACAAATTTGCTCTTGTTGGTCTGTTTGGTCTCTTCTCTGTGAGAGAGTTGTGAATTTTTTATACATGTTGCATCCCTTTAGAGCCTCTTTAATATTGCACTCTCCTTTATCTAAAAAAAAATAGTTATGTACATGGGTGGAATCTGCTTGGTGCCCTTTTATGATCTTTCCTATTTTTCTCTTAAAATACCAGAAATGAAGGTAAAAATGTTGGTCAAACAAATTAGATAAAAAAGACTGGGAACTGGAGTAACTTACCAGAAATCTGTGCATTTCAACATGTCCAACTAAGTTGGAGCATGCAATGGACATAATGTACTTTCTTACTAACAGCTCATCTTTTTGGCAGATTTAATTCATGCTGACATCAGTAGATGCACCACAATTTAAGTCATGTTCCACTGTTGAAGCCATAAACCAGAAACGCCTTATAAGTACCTACCAAACAGACTGAAGTACTACGTCCATAGTTCAAACATTAAACTATTTTCATTTCTCGTCATACTTAAAATAGATATGTTAGGTTTAATTGCTGGATACCAGATGGTAATAATAACCACTGATTAATAACTTTCAAGCAGTTGTACCATCACATTTGCATCTTCCATATTTTGAAGTCCAGGCATTCAGTTCAGTTTCTAGCCAATTTGAAAGGTTCACTACTAAAAATATAACCAACATGATTTCTTTAGTCATTTTGTTTCCCTGGACCCAAGTTACTTTTTAGGACGTAGGTAGCTTCCATACCTTTCAGTTTTAAAGTCTACACTCAGAAGGAGAGGAACTAAGCATTCTGAAAATGATGACATGGCAAAACCTTTTGGCGAAAACAATGACCGATGAAATTTAAGTCAATACAAACTGAACCACAGGAATCTTTTTATCATTCCACCTAACAAGTCTGCCTCAAGTTTGGCGCTCTTTCTGCCCCTTACAGAAGACAAATCTCAATTTTAAAATATGAATCATGGACCCACTGCTAAAAATGCAGTTGTTAATAGTGGGTGTTAAGATGTTCCGATCAAAAACTATGCTAGCCCAAAAAATGTTATGGAGCATCTAGACTGAATTGGAACATAACAGTTGCTTCAATAACAAATAAAAAAAGGGTCTCAATTGACAGGATATAAAAAAAAAATAAATCAATCAATTCAACAGCAAAAATTCTCGGGATTATCTGAAGTCAAAGAATCCTCTGGGGACTTTTCATGGTATACTTATTTTTAACTCCAATAGTTGTTTCCTGGTTGCATTACTGACACCTCAATTTGTAGTAAACAATATTTACATAGGGGCTGTTGGAACTGGTTTGTCCTCTTCAGCATTTGTATTGGATGAGGAACCACCAATAGTTTGCCTTCAGATTTGACCCCTAACTAACAGCTGATTTATTACTCTTTTGGCTGCGGGGGCAATATGATGGTGCTCATCAACTATCCCAAGTTTTTGCAATATGATTTATTCTTGGATAATGAAACTCAGATCACTAACATAACATGCTGCTCGCTGTTCATCTGTTTCAAATAAGTTGAAATTTGCAGTTATGTCGTAAAAAATTCTTCAGTGTGTTACATTACTAATCTTCTACTTTGAGAACAAGTTTAGTATTGTTGAAATAATATTTGTTCA